ATTTCTCCCTTTCTCCATATAGGCTATCATTTGATCATTTACGCTCTCCGTAGTTCCCCTGTGGCACGAGCACAGGGCAGCTGTTAAGCGCGTTTAGTGAGCATGTGCATTTCCTGTCGCTTGCGCGGTGAATCGTACCGCCTGTGCTGTGCGGAGATGCAGGGGAAACCGTATCTGATGGGGATACACAGCTCGACGTAACACCGGTATTTCCATCTGGAAAACGCTGTTTTGCTGGTGGAGTCCTTGTCACGCTCCATCTCTCTGTGTGTGCTGTACATTAACACCCGCCAGTGGAAACACCCACCTACCTAACTGACAGATGTAAGCTCACTATGCATCAGCCAATCTCATCCTCCCCTCCCTTATGACAAGGCGCGCACGACAAGGCGCGCATGTGACGAGAGCAGTAACGGGGTTTCGGCAATGGTAACTGCGTTATAGTTACAGTCAAAGTAATTGGTTAGATTACTCTAAAAAAAAGGTAATGGCGTTAGTAACGCTGTTACTTTCAACGCTGTTACTCCCATCACTGTTGGTCAATTATAGACCTATATTCAATCTTCCTTTCTTATCTGAAATTCTTCAGAAAGTAGTTGCCAAACAAGTGTGCAATCACTTACACCATAAGGAACTTTTTGAAGAGTTTCAGTCTGGCTTTAGAGCTCATCATAGGACCAAACAGCTCTGGTGAAAGTCGCTAATGATATTCTCATGGCCTCAGATAATGGACTTATCTGTGCTCGTCCTGTTAGATATCAGTGCTGCATTTGATACAGTTGACCATAATATTCTTTTAGAAAGACTTAAATATTTTTATTTAAATTAAAGGAACAGCACTAGACTGGTTTAAATCTTATCTATCTGATCAATTTCAGTTTGTTCACGTTAATGACAAATCTTCCTCATGTGGTGTACCACAGGGATCAGTGCTAGGACCAATTCTCTTTACTATATATATGCTTCCAATCAGTAGAGTTATTTAACAGCATGGGATTAATTTCCACTGTTATGCTGATGATATCCAGCTATATCTGTCTATAAATCCAGATGAAGCTAACCCATAACATTCGATACATGCATGTCTCGAAGACATAATAACGTGAATGACTCTTAAATTTCTCCATCTGAATGCAGACAAAACAGATGTTATAGTCTTTGGACCAAAGTCTTTGAATTTTAAACTTTGAAAAAATTTTGGTGTTCTTTGTGATGAGGACCTGTCATTTAAATTGGACTATTCTCACTTTTTAATTTTCATCAGAACTCTGGCTGCAGCATTTTGGATCAGCTGAAGGCTTTGAACTACATTATGTGGACTTCCTGATAGCAAAGAATTACAATAAACAAGCCTTGAAGTAACAGATGCATCGACTAGTTTCTCAGCATCACTCCTGGACAGGATATTTCTAATTTTTGCAATATTCCTCAGACGAAAGAAGGAAATTCTAGAAACTTCTTTGATATGGGATTTAAATGACAGGTCCTGATCAAAAACAACACCAAGATTTTTTACTTTATTATCTGAAATCAGTTTAATCCCATCCAATGAAGTGACTGACTAATCAGCTTCTTTTTCAAAGAGTCTGGTCCAAAGCCTATAACTTCCGTTTTGTCTGCATTTAGGAGCAGAAAGTTAAGAGTCATCCAGGTTTTTAAATCTTCAAGACATACCAGTAATCTATGTAATGTGTTAGCTTCATCTGGATTTATAGACAGATATAGCTGGGTATCATCAGCATAACAGTGAAAATTAATCCCATGCTGTCTAATAACTCTACCGATTGGGAGCATATATAAAGTAAAGAGAATTGGTCGTAGCACTGATCCCTGTGGTACTCCACAGGTAACATTTGAGCATGAGGAAGATTTGTCATTAACATGAACAAACAGAAATCAATCAGATAGATAAGATTTAAACCAGTCTGGGGCTGTACCTTTAATTCAAACAAAAATATTCAAGTCATTCTAAAAGAATATTATGGTCAACTGTATCAAATGCAGCACTGATATCTAACAGGACTAGCATCCAATCTCTAAGTTTAGAACCCATCTAGTGTCCCATCTCAAATGACCAGAGGTGGGAACATCATAAACGGGGAGGGGTAAATCGCCTCCATCCACCCCAAGTAAATTGCACCCAGCTAATTTATCACATATGACATGTGAGTTTGATGACAAAATATAAAAATAAAGCAAAAAGCAAAGTTACATCTTTTATTTAATTTAACAGATACAGATATTAAAACAATAGAATTTACAAACACTTTGAACTGAAGTTACCAGATAAAGTACTGTTCATAACCTACAAAACAGAGCTGCAATGATTGCAAATTAAGTCAGTCATTGTCCAGCTGGATTTCAGTCCTATCAAGTTTAATTTAATTGGTATGAATGAATATGAATGTTTTGGTATCGAATGGAATGGGGTCTAGGGTCATTTAAATTGATAATCAATTACCTAGATTGTAAAGAAGAAATTCCTGTCACATTAAGCCCAATAAAAAGAATCTTAACATGATCAGAAAATTGCAGCTAAGTGAGAAATTCCTCTTTATGATAACAAAACCTAAACTGCTGCTTAACCACTCTATGCAAATCTGTTTGTCTTGAGTTTCCTTTTTTTTCCTATAATATATTTGCTTTGCTGGACCCAGGCTGTAGTATGTTAAAGGTCACAATGTGTTTAATTGCTTTTCTAAACCAGGGATAGAACATGGCATAGATAATAGGGTTCAGGCATGAGTTAATGCAGAAAATACACAGAACAGTTATAGACACATTTTGTGAAACGTAACCTGCAAGAGAAATACCGTAGTAAGGACAGAAACATATCACAAACACAAGGACTATAAAACCAATGGTCCTGGCAGCTTTCAATTCAGACTTCCTTGCTGTCACTGGACCTTGTTGTGGTGCTGTGGAATGAGAGCGGATAGCTCGAGCCTGAAAAACAACCACCAGAAATACTCTAATGTACAGAAATATGATTACAGAAATTGGAGCAAAAAAAGTTATAAAAAGGTCAATTACTATGGCAGAATACGTTATGAAAAACACACATTCTCCCTGACAAGAAGTAGCAAATAGACTTAAACCATCCTTCACAAAAGTTATACTGTAAAAAGCTGAATAAAGCCAACAAAGACTAATACATAGTCGTATTTTTGTGATAGTAATTCTCCTGTGGTACTGCAGTGGGTAACAAATAGCCACATAACGGTCTACAGATATCAGCACAATATTTCCGACTGAAGAACAGATAATAACAACAAGGATGTATGAATACAATAAGCACAGGTGATCACCAAAAAACCAACAAGTTGTTAGTTTAAGCATTTCACCTGGAATAAAAACAAGACCTATCAAGAAGTCCGCAACTGCGAGAGACAGAAGCAGGAAGTTGTTTGCTCTGTGAAGCTGCCTGCAGAGAAATTAGCACAGTTAAAATTTTAGGCATCATATTTCGTTCGATCACCAAAGATATTGTTTACATAGAGAGTACTTATTTTTCTATATGGATCGAATATTCAAAAGAAACTGAATTTTTTTTTCTTTACCTGAAATGAGAGATGGAGATGATGACCAGCAGATTTAGAACTACAGTGAGCACAGAAATGAGGGGCAGTAGAAACTGGAGAAATAGAACTGAAACCCATGAAACTCTTGGCTTCTTGCAAGATATGTTAAATTGTTGAGGAAAACAGAGCTCATCATTATCAGACATCATAGCAATGGGCTTGTAGCTGGGTTGTTGAAGGCTTTATTGGGGGATCTAGAATGGAACACTTGTATGGATGTTTTTCCCTTTCCTCCAGTGACTCCAGTGAAAAAAATATTTACTCATTAGGATTGGTTAATCTCTGTTGTCCTTCTTTCCAGGGACCCCATACATGCAATGTGAATTTCTCCAAGCTCTGATGAGTAGCCTTGTTATCAACTTGGCCCTTCCCCTTAATAGTTCCTTTATTTCAGATTTTTGTTGCACTACTTAACCTTTTGCTTTCTTTTTCTTCAATTGCATTGGTAGTATTATTTTTCCTGGAAAATAAATTTTTTTTCCCCCTGGCACCTCCCATTTGCAGTAGTGCCAAGAGGTAAGAACACTAAAACGGTTGTTGCTTTAGAGAAAGTGGATTTAAAGTTGGTTGACCAGGGTTTACCTTATTGTTTAAAATAAATCATAAACAATATCTCAAGTCTCTGCTACGTGCGGAGCCCATTCCCTCCGTCCTGCCCTCCCTTTGTTGGCTGGCGCCTGGGTCCGCTGGCGCTTGCCTCAGTTCTCTGGAGGGGCCCGTCTTCGGCTCTTCACAATTGAGCATTTTTCCTTCAGATTCACTTCCATATAGAAAGCCCAAATTCTTATCTTCAGCTACGACAGTATACATGTCAGATTAAATAATGCTGATTATACTTTAGCGATAGTATCTAGGTGTTACTTTATTGTATGTCTCGTACCAATTCTGTTGGTTGTGCTGTTCTATTTACATCTATTTGCAGGTGATGAAGCAGACTGAAGATGTTTTATCATTATCTCCCCTTTGTCATGATCGGTTCTCTAATGGAGACCCAAAGATGCAGAACACCACTGACGGACACAGGATGAAAAGTTTAACAAGTTTATTTGCACAATCACACTGAATATGCAGAAGGCTGGTTCGGGCCTGGATTCTGGTTTCACCGGAGTCTGCGTGAAGGACAGCACAGTTAAGGACTGTTGACGGGGTTTGGTTTCCATTGGTGCACAGATTGTACCTTGAGGGTTCTTGAGGTTCTCTTTGGGAGAGTCACTGTTGGTCCTG